TTGTGCATTTGTTAATAGATTTTTTTCGTGCATTGATATACTGTCTACTTTCACATGAAAGTAAATACCAATACTGACTCCACCCCAGTGGTAACTCCACTAAACAAGAAAATATTTCTCAAAATACTCAGAGACTAAAATGTCACTGAAAAACATAACCTGGATAGCACAAGGTTCTAATATAGCCTTCATCTACTTCATTCACAAATAAGAATAAAGAAAGGTTCCTTTGGTAGATCCACAAGTATTAAGGAGAACTAGAAAAATATGATACAGAATATATTTGAACATGCTCTCAAAATTATCTAAAATATAAAACATAGAAAGAAATGTTTTTTGAAAAGAACCTCACAGCTGACTCCAGTTTCCCATCAGGCATGTAGAGGAAAGGTGAAACTCTAAAATTGGCTTCATCACTGTGCCGCAAAGCTGAACCCAGTTCATCCATAACATACCTGAGACCAATGCCAAACAGCATTCACAATAAGAAAATAACCAAGGATGATGCACAACATAAAACTTTCAAAGCGCAATTATTCTATCAGTACATTCAGAATAACAACAGATAGTGCAATAACAGGACTTTTGGGTAGCAACTGCAATAATTTATGAACTCGTTGAGAAATTTGTACAAATTTGTTATTCTGAATGTACAACAACAACAACAACAACAACAACATAGCCTTTAGTACCCAAAAGTCCTGTTATTGCACTATCTGTTGATTTATATTAAACCCAAGAAAAAGCACTCAAGAAACGAACTACGTGCATACCAAACAGACGTTTCATCTATCTTTTCTTCATCTGCAAGACGATATGTCATCACGTACAACCACATAGCATTGAGAACACGATCAACAAGAGACTCCCCAGAATTCAACTCAGGGAGACGTGGCTTTAACATCGAATCAACAACGCTCTTGTCCGATTCCAAGATTTTTGATGTGGTGAGCCCGTTTAGGAGACAGAGATTGGGCAGGGCTTCAATAATATCAACAGCATTTTCTCCAAGTGGCCCAGGAATATCAACCTACCAACACTATTCATGTTAAAAGCAAGCAACTTATAATAGGAATATAAGCATTTTTTTTCATCATATATTCAGAATTACCTCCAGTGCAGTTAGGTTGACGAATCCTTTAAGATATTTTAGTAGCCCATCAACTGAGATTTCATCTAATGGATTTCCGCGCAGATTCAAGTATGAAAGAATAGGCATTTCTAATGGAGAAAAGGCCTGTAAAGGAGAGCAACAGAATGAAGAAGAAGCCAATCAAGAAGTTAGATGAGAACAAATTTGGACGTCAAAAGCCCATAAGAGAATTACAGTGAAAAAAGAAATATGCTAACCATAGTAATGAGATTGTGAATGCCCCTATTCGAAAGGTCAAGAGATGTGATACTCTGTAGTCGATTATCACTCTCACAAGAACCACCAGGATTGCTAGCATCATACAATCCCCCACAGAATCCTAAAGCCCAATGACCATACTTTGGGGTGAAGTGGGAATTGTAGATCTCCAGTTCAGGGCAGTTCAGAAGAATAATATCTTCTAAATAATTTTCACTGTGAAAGAAAGAAAAGCCAGTATCAATCAGAAGTATTAAAGCGTATGTATGTCATATATTCATCCTACTACATTTTTTATGGATGACATGGAGGCTTACCCAGTTTCCAGTACAGGATTATAATTGAGCCATAGAGCTCTAAGAGATTTGATATTAGCTACCACCTGTAACACAGTTTTCGAGCTCTGTATCTTGTTTCCACGGAGGCTTAGCGCCAGCAATTTCTAATGCAATAAAATGAACAGTTACAAATGGGATCAACAGAAAATAAAGTGCAGACTATCTCATTTTCCACTTTTGGACAACCGGTTGAGTTTTAACCAACACAGACTTATGAGGTCCAGAGAAATAAGGACTATACAAAAATAAATATAAAAATGACAGAATTTGGCATAACTTAAAAGAAAAGAAGTTGGGTGATGGTTCTGTAAGATAGATTGAGCAAACACAACCATAAATTGTTATTTCATAAAGCACTACATATCATAAGTACCCAATTGTTTATCTCTTGTCAATTCATTAAATTCGTATCAACAGGTATATATCCCATGTGTCAGACTAGTTTTTTTGAAAGTGACTAAGAATTAACTGAAAATATTCTCTTTTCCAGGTCATTCCAATTAGCAACACCATCCTTCCACCCACAAAGAAGCTGACTTACCGGAAATTTACTAGGCAAATCAAGAGAAACTAGAATATCATCATTGATTTCAAGATCCTCAAGCTCCAACCACCTCACAGAATCATCACCTTGTTCCTTAACTTTACAGTATTCTTTCTCAACTATTTCCTCAGCACTTAAATTAGCATCACCTTCATCGTGTGGCTCCTCAGCCTCTGAGTTCAAATCGATATCCACACACATCAATGAAGCCATCCTCTCCACCAATCCTGGAACTTCCTGCAACTGCAAGGCGATCCAAAAACAACCACGATGTCAATGCTCGAAAATATGGACTAATATATCACGAATAATCCAAATTAGCAAGCACATAAATAAACAAACAAAAAATGAAGCTCATTTCTGTTTGTTCATTACCTGCTTGTAAGCATCGTTAATGCGAAAAGTCCAGGCATGGTCCACTAGAAAGACATCAGAATCTTTTCCGAGAAAATCGGCAGTGAGCAGGAGCCTCCTCTGCCTGCCGTCCTCCACGGGCTCCACCTGGAAATAACTCCCGCCGTCAAAAGTTTCGGCCAGAAGCTTCTGGAAGAGCTTCGTATGCAATGGCTGAGGAAGCCCCGACGCCGCCAGAAGGACGGCATGGGACTTCAAAAAGTCTTCGTAGTTGTTGATTCCAGCGTCGGCGGCGGACATTTGGTGATGGGTGACGCTGGCCTGTACAGCTTAGTTACGGAGCTGAAAAGAGGTCAGGGTTTTGGCTGAGACGGAAACGGAGAGTGGAGAGGTTAACAGTCAACACTAACAGTGGGTTAGTGAATGACAAAAAGGTAGCACTCTTCGCTTGAGTCTTGGACAATGGGTCTCTAGTTNGTAAAAAAAAAAAAAAATTAAATAAATAATAATAATAATAATAACAATAGGTTAGTGAACTATTAACCAGGAATACGGGATTCAAAAGCCAATAAAAGAGAGACATTTTCTTTTCTGCTGGATGCCGTTAAAAAGTGAATAAATAGCTGGAAAGTGCGATTGAAAAATAAATATTTTTATAAGAAAATGCATGTATATATTGAGGTGTAAAAGTATGCGTTCTGAATATTATACATTTTTCTTTTTTTTTTTCGAACAAACAATAGATTTTTTTTTAAGGCAGGACCCCCTACTTATATATAAACATGTCTAAGATGGGTTGGAGAATCATGTGTCCATAAGTTCATACAGCAAGCACAAATAAAAAGGTCGAAGACAAGAGAGAAAGCAAAACAAAGAGAAAGAAAAAGAAAACAACAGTCAAAGTGAAAAATACGAAAACTGGGCTAACAGGTGTCCAGGCGTAAACAGTCTGCGCCACAAGTATACTATATCAAAAACAAACAAAATGACTACCCGAATATGAATGATGGGTAACCAAGCTGATTCATCTGTATAAGCGTGCGAAGTCGGAGAGGGATGTCCGGTCGAAGGATTCGCCTCTGGGTAGTGGAGACACCGATGCTAGCGAAGAAGTCAGCAGGTCGGTTCCCCTCGAGAAAGATATGCGATATCCGATGCCATCTCCCTGACGTTTTGATTTTGAAGCAGGGTACGAACGAAGCGAAGTGCGGACCCGACTGGAGTGTGGATCTAATGCGCATGAGTGAGTGTTGAATCTGCCGGAACCCTGATAGCCTGATGTCAAGAGGGTGATGACAGCGGTGACGTCCAGCTCGATCCAAATGTGAGAAGAGATAGAGGGTGCGATCTGAAGCGCTTGGATCTTTGCATCATAACTCGAGAGGGCCTGAAGAGGGGAGTGGAAAGCGGTAATTAGATCTCCGTTGTGGTCCCTGATCAAACACCCCTCCTTCGGCGGCTTCAGTAAAGCGATTGGAAGATCCGTCGGTGTTTAGCTTAACCCAAGAGGAATCGGGTCTCAGCGATGGTATGAGGCGGTGTGGCGGCATGCAGCCTGTCCAGTCTCTGGGTGTGAGTCTGCCTAAGGCTGTGAGAAGAGATAGGTGTCGCTCAACCTGCCAATTCTCAAATCATGCCTACATCTAAGAGTCTCTCCAATGTTGCGTTGGAGTAGCGTTTATCGCTAGAAATTGTGCTCCAATGCAACGCCAGAAACGTGCGCTAATCTGGCGCAGCACTGTAGCTTCGCTACAATTTTTTTTTTTTTGTTATGTATATGCCTTTTAATCTAATATTATTGAAAAATTTAGGTAAATGTGTATTAGTAAATATATTTATTATGTTAAATAATTTTGAATTTTTTATTTACTAATGTATTATAATTTTATTATGTAATTTTTTAATATTAAACTAATAACATAGGAATAAAAATTTAGCACAATTTTTTTTTCAACATAATACACATCTTCATTTATAATAGAAAAAAAGTGATAAATTGTTGGACGAACAAGATTAACACAAGAAATTTATTTTCAACGACTTGCATTATAAATTGAAATTACTTAAATCTTAGTTAATATTTTAGTAAATACTTGATACATATTTTAGCATATAAAATAATTTTTATATAAATATTGTTGTACTATTTGTATTTTATTAATTATATAATGATACTAATATAAATAATTGAATATGTGTAAAACAATATACATTTGTGGAATTAAAATAATTTAAAATAATAAAAATAAAAAGAAAATATTTTATGGAGACAAAATTTAACTTTACTGTATAACAGAATAAACTCGCCAGTAGAGTAGAGATAAAGAGTTTGGCCTAATAAGTTGGAATCTCCACAACCACAGCACAAGCGTATTTTAATAAAAATCTATTCACACTCACTTTTAATGCTACGGTTTTTTTAATGATTAAAGCGAACAAAAAAAGATAAAATAAAATTGAAAAAAGAAACAGAAAAAGGTCCCACTAATCGAGCTTGCTTGCCCGAGTGCCCCTTATTTAGTTATTCGATCCCAATAACAATTATTGTACGATACAACCAAATCAAACATCAATGGCTTCCACATCCTCCTCAGCCGCTCAGCCATCGCCCCAGCCGGTTACCGCGTGCCAGTGCTCCTGCTCTTCCGCCGTCAACGCGGCCAATTTCATCTCCGCCAAGCTCCGCCGTGAGCCTCCCGGTAACTACAAATCATGGAAAGAGCAGATGCTCTGCCTCATAGAGAGCCAGGGCTTTCTCGGCTTCGTGGACGGAGAAGAGATATCTCCACCAAAGAAGGCAGACGGCGGCCAATCGGAGCACGCCGCGTGGAGGAGGAGAGATCGGCTGGTCAAAGGTTGGATTCTGGGTGCTCTGAGCGACGAGGTTGTTGAGACCGTGCTTGGATTTAGTACGGCCAGGGAGGTTTGGACGAAGTTGGAGAAGGAATTTGGTGTATCCAAGCAAGTTCCAGCGCCTCCACCTCCTCCGCCGGCGGCGGCCAAACAAGGTACTAAGCAAGTTTACTTTTCAAAAATCAATAACATAAATGGATCTTTAATTTATTGTGTTCCTTCTCTATATTTGTTATGTAGCTATTTGTTCTAATTTCTAAATTAATCCGCTGTTGTTTCGACTATTTTGGTAACTTGTAACTTTATAAGCAGTTAAATTTCGACTAGTTTATTTGAAAAAAAAAAAAAAATCGACTAATTTTGGTAAGATGTAGCTTTATAAGCCGTTAAAAATGAAGAAAAATGAATAGGTTTTAGCAGTCAAGCAAATAACAATAATGATAATTTTGTGTGATACGAAAAATGAACGACCTGATTAAAATATTTTATGGTTAAGTGTTGTGGTATCATCCCAAGATCATAAACATAATTGAGAGAAAAATAAGTTTCTATTACTCACAAGAATAAAAACAAGAAATTTACAAACTCTAAACAAAAAAACTCTCAAACTCTCCCACAACTCTTCTTGGTTGTGTTTCAACACTCTCAAGGTTGATTGATCACACTCTTGGATGATTTGAATGAATGAAATGAGAAGCCTATTTATAGGCAAGATTGAGCACTCCCTTGTTGACAATATGTGTGTGTAAAGAGAAGGTTTGGTGGAGGCTTCTTCATTGGTGTGCCAATGACTTCTTCAATTGTGGGCTTCAAGTTGCTGCATGGAACTTTCAATTCTCCCCTTTCCATGCAAGTTCTGAACAAGCATTCCTACTATGTCTCTGCATAGCTTAAGCTTATCCAGTGTAACCACTTTTGTCAACATATCTGATGGATTCTCCTTCGTATTGATCTTCACTAGTCTCAACAGCTGTTGATCAATCTTCTCGCGTATCCAGTGATACCGAACATCAATATGCTTTGTGCTGGCATGGTACATAGAGTTTTTGCTTAAGTCAATAGCACTTTGACTATCACAATAAACCTTATATTCTTTCTGCTTGATCCCAAGTTCGTGGAGATAACGTTTTAGCCACAACATTTCTTTACCAGCTTCAGCGGCAGCAATATATTCAGCTTCTGTTGTGGATAAAGCAACACACTTCTGCAATCTTGATTGCCAAGAAATGGCTCCCCCTGCAAAAGTGTAGACATAACCCGAAGTAGACTTTCGACAATCAATATCTCCAGCCATATCAGCATCAGTATATCCTTCCAAGATTGGATCAGCTCCCCCGTAACAAAGACATAACTTAGAAGTACCCTTCAAGTATCTGAGAATCCATTTGACTGCCTCCCAATGCTCCTTCCCGGGGTTAGAAAGAAAACGACTCACTACTCCCACTGCATGAGCAATATCTGGCCTGGTACATACCATTGCATACATCAAACTTCCAACTGCTGAAGAATGGCACTGCAGACATCTCCCCCACCTCTTCCTTGGATGTGGGACGTGATCTTTTGTTCAACTTGAAATGATTCGCAAGTGGAATACCCACTGGTTTGGCATCACTCATATTGAATCTTTCAAGTACTCGTTCAATGTACTTCTCTTGAGATAGTCATAACTTGCCGTTCTCTCGGTCTCGAGTAATCTGCATCCCAAGAATCTTTTGAGCCTTTCCTAAATCTTTCATATCAAAAGACTTGGAAAGTTCTTTCTTCAGCTAACGTATCTTCTTTGCATCATTCCCAACGATCAACATGTCGTCGACGTACAGTAGAAGAACTATGAAAGTCCCGTTTGGGTATCTCTTGATGTAAACACACTCATCTGCAGTAGTCTTCTTGTAACCTTGACTCTACATGCATGAGTCAAACTTCTTATTCCACTGCCTTGGTGCTTGCTTCAGACCATACAAGCTTTTAGATAGCTTGCACACGAGGTTCTCACTTGAAACCTCAAAACCTTCTGGCTGTTGCATATAGATTTCTTCTTTCAAATCTCCGTGAAGAAAAGCTGTCTTCACATCCATCTGTTCAAGCTCCAAATTCATATTTGCTGCCAAGTCAAGTATGATTCGAATTGAGGTCATCTTGACAACTGGTGCAAAGATCTCGTCAAAATTAATCCCTTTCTTCTGCTGAAAGCCTTTGACAACCAATCGAGCTTTGTGTTTCACCACTTGTCCATTTGCATCTTTCTTCAGCTTGAACACCCATTTGTTTTTCAAAGCCTTTTTCCCTTTTGGAAGTTTAACAATCTCATAAGTTTGATTTTTCTGCAGAGAATCTAATTCTTCCTGCATCGCAATCATCCATTTTTCTTTATCCTTATGAGATATGGCTTCTTGAAAACTCTCTGGTTCTCCATCTTCTGTCAATAGAAGGTATTCAGCTGATGAGTACTTTTTTGATGGTATATGACCTCGTTCAGATCTACGAGTGGGTAGAACCATCTGAGAAGAACTTCCAACGTTGGTGTCTGGCAAAATGGGTTGTGTCTCCCCTTGCTCTGGCAAGATGGATTGTTGCTCCCCTTGCTCTGTCAAGATGGGTTGTTGCTCCCCTTGCTCTGCACTCTCTTCTGTCTCCTCGTCTCCTTCTGGTACATCATCTTCATTATTTCTCCAGAACAATTCTGGTGCTTCATCTGAAATTTGAGCACCCACATTTGACTTCTGAGACATCTTGGGCTCTTCCACGTCTTCTATTGTCAAATTTTCTTGGAACACAACGTCCCTACTTCTGATCACCTTTTTCTCCTTTCGATCCCAAAATCTGTATCCAAACTCTTCATCTCCATAACCAATGAAAATGCATGGGATGGACCTTGCATCGAGCTTCTTTCTGAGCTCTTTGGATACATGTGCATATGCTACACAACCAAATACTCTGAGATGTGAGTATGTCGGATCCTTACCAGTCCATATTCTCTCTGGAACTTCAAAATTTAATGGAACTAAAGGTGATCGGTTGATTAGATAACATTCGGTCTTGACAGCTTCTCCCCAAAATGGCTTTGGTAATTTTGTCATATTCATCATGCTTCGGACACGCTCCATGATAGTCCGATTCATTCTTTCAGCAATGCCGTTGTGCTGAGGGGTACGTGGAACTGACTTCTCATGTCGAATGCCATATGTATGACAATATGCATTGAACTCCTTGGAAGTATACTCGCCTCCATTATCAGATCAGAGACATTTCAGCTTCTTTCCTGTTTCACGTTCCACCATGACGTGAAATGACTTGAAGTACTCGAACACCTGGTCCTTCGTATTCAGGAAATATACCCACACTTTTCGAGAAGCATCATCAATGAAAGTCAGAAAATATCTGCTTCCACCCAATGATTCAACCTCCATGGGACCGCAAACATCAGAGTGTACCAAGCTTAACAACTCTGATCTCTTTGTTGAATTTGCATTGAATGAGACTCTATGCTGCTTGCCGAACAGGCAATGACTACAAGAACTCAATGCAGCACTCTTATCAACCTTGATAAGATCCTTCTTCATTAGGGTAGTCAACCCTTTCTCACTCATATGGCCAAGTCTCTGGTGCCATAGATCCTGGGAAGCCTCCTCTGCAACATTGAGACTTTCTGTACTGATCTTCAAATGTGTTTTGTACAGCGTCCCACAAACATGTCCTCGGGCAATTTTCAGAACACCCTTTGACAACTTCCATGTGCCTGCACCAAAGTGATTGTCATATCCTTCTTTGTCAAGAGCCACCACTGACAAAAGATTCAGTCTAAGATCCGGCACATGTCTAACATCCTTCAATAGGATTGTACTCCCGGTTCATGTCGTCGCCTGGATATCACCAATTCCGGCAATATTAGAGGAACTGGAATTTCCCATCTTCACCGATCCAAAGTCTCCAGCTTGGTATGTTGTGAAGTATTTCCTGTTGGGAGTAACGTGATAGGATGCTGCAGTATCTACCACCCATTCCATGTCTTCTCGTGAGACATGAAGGCATGTCTCACCATGGGTAGAGCAATATGCTACCTCCCCTGAGACAGTGATGAGGGTTTCACCACCCTTGCCCTTATTCTTCTGCTGAGAACTGTTCTTCGGCTGAGAATTGCTTTTGCCCTGCTCCTCGAGCCATTTATAGCAATTCTTCTTCATATGACCTTCTAGACCACAATGATAGCACACATGTGATCTCCGATCATCTGATTGCCTCCCCTTGCTTCTACCCCTGCTCTTTCCTCTACCGCTTCTTTGTTTCTTGCCTTGTGGTCTTCCTCGATTCTCCATTACAAGGGCATGGGTCTGATCTGTGCCCATGTCTTTCCTTCTTGCCTCTTCATTGAATAAGGCATCCTTCACAACGGACATGGAAAGTTTGCCGTTTGAGGCTGAATTGCTGAGAGTAACAACGAGAGTTTCCCAGCTATCAGGAAGGGAACTAAGAAGTAGCAGAGATTGCATTTCATCTCCAAGCGGCATCTCCACACAAGATAGCTGATTTACCAGGCTCTGGAACTCACTGGTATGCTCGGCAACAGAAGTTCCACTTTTCAACTTCATATTGACTAAGCGCCTCATCAATAAGGCCTTATTTCGAACGGTCTTGGCCTGGTACATGTCCCCCAGCTTCCTCCAAAGGACATATGCGTCGGTTTCTTGTGCAACATGATGGAAGACACTATGGTCTATCCATTGTCGGATTTGACCAATAGTTTTTCTATTGATTTTCTTCAATTCTAACGCCTTGGACGGATCAGGGTTAATACCCTCCAGCACTATTGGGTCAAAGAGCTCTTTACAGCTGAGGAAATCTTCCATCCGAGGTTTCCACAGCGTGTAATTGGTAGCCGTGAGCATAATCATAGCTCCAGAAGATGAAGTTGACTCTTCCATGGCCATTTTACACCTTCAATTATCTGTTAGGGACAAATCGGAGCTGTATTTCGAAAAATAGACAGCATCGTTGCGTCCGGAACAGTCGAAAATGGGGGGGGAGTTTTTTTTTTTTTTTTT